GGAGGGAGTTGGCCCCATAGCCTAGTGGTTAAGGGAGTCAGACTCACATAGCCAATGGCTGTTTGTTTCAGTCCTGGCAGCCTGAGTGGCACACCTGGCTCTAGGTGCATATGTGTGGGTGTCTAGGGTCTCCACAGGGACAGGGCGGAGACATAGAGGATCACATCGTAATTATGCCCCATGGGGGTGCTTTCTCCCTCTCTCTGTATGTCTCTAGCAATTAAAAAACAAAAATAAGGAAGGATTACGCCTACAAAATATTAAAATGCCATAACTTGTAATAATCAGTATGAAACACACTGGGCACATGAATCAGTATATAAGTGCCCAAGATCTGACAGGTTGGAGGACTAAAAGGAGGGAATCCAAGCATGACCAGACCCCTGTGGAGAGTGCTTCTCTCTTTCTCTTTCTTATGCTCACATGCGCATGTGCTCTACCGTGAATTAAAAAAAAAAACTTTTTTAAATGAAAAAAAAAAAAAATACAGACCATTCATGGCTTGGTGGTTAAGGGAGCCAGATCCCACATGGCCAACAGTGGCCCTGGAGACTTGAAATACATACCAGGCATGTATGCATGCCCCAAATCCTGATAAGATGCAGAGGTGGAAAAGGGATTGTGGCATGACCATGCCCCCTTTAGGGGTGCTTTTTCCTTTTCCCTCTCTCTCTCTCTCTGTCTCTTTTTGGTTAGTGCATGTGTCCTCTGGCAATTTAAAAAAGAAAGCAAAAGTAAACATACTAATCAGACTTCTTTTTTTAAATAATTATTTTATTTAACTTTATTTATCTATTTATTTATTTTAATTTGACCAGAGAGAAACAGAGTGAGAGAGAGAGCATGAAAGCGAGAAAGCAAGCCGCCAGGTCCTGGATTGGAACGGTGGTCAGCCATGTGGGAGTCCGGTGTCCTTAACCACCATGCCACCTGCTGGCCCCATCTTAATCAGACTTCTTCAAAGAAATAGAACACACACACACACACACACACCAAATATATATATATATATAATACACATTTCTAATGAACTTTGTGAAGACCCCCTGGTGTATATGAAAGTCTGTGTACATGCACACACATATGAAGACGTGATGGTGGAGGGGATGGGTGTGGATGGTAGAGACACTAATACGCTAGAGTAGATGGTAAAGCGTGGGCGGCAGAGGCTGGGCGTGAGGTGCAAGGGGAGAAAACATTTGATAGATGGAAAAATGTTAAATTCTCTGTTGAAAAAAATATAGACATCGTGGGACCAGCAGTTAGTATAATGGCTTAGTGTAATGGCTGTGTTGCTGAACTCCCATGTAGCTGACCGCAGTTTGAGTCCCGGACTCAGTGGCTTAAACTCATGCCCAAGATCCCGAGAGGAGAATGGAGGAGAAGGGATTGCGGCGTGGCCATCCCCTCTGGGGGGTGATTTCTTGCTTTCTGTCACTCTTTCTGTCTCTATCTTTCTGGCGAACGCACACACCCTATAGCAAAAACCTCTCCAAAAAATTTTAAAAATATATTTATAGGCATCGTGATGACAACTTTATGTAAAATGTGAAGTTAATCTCAAAAATTATAATATTTAAAAAGCAATGATGAAATATCAACTGTGTTGATAAATTTATGTACATAATATAGTTTCATTATTATAAAAAAAAGGAAACCATTTTATATCTATCTGTCAAGGAGCATTTAAATATATAATGGTCCACACATACTATGAAAAGATATGTAGTCTTAGGTTGAGGTAAATAATGCAAATGGTGGTAATAGTGCCACTGAAAATAATGATAGCATTAATAGCTAATGTTTAATGAACATTTACTAAGTGTTCAAATGCCTTATATGTATTTCTCATTAGATATTAAATGAACCATTAGGAAAGTAATCACATTTGCCCTCCTTTACTGAGCACAAAAAATGTAGCGCTTCTTCAAAGTCACATCATGGCAGAACCAAGATTTCCACCCAGGACACAATGCTTTGCCATTAAGTGAAGACTGTTTTATTGTTCTCAGTTGTTGGGGTTTTTAGGTTTCCAGGAATATGCAGTTGGAAAAACCAATTTTCAGGGCGCAAGGAAGTTCGTTTCTATTGGGAAATGACCTGCTGAATGAATCCTAGTACTTTTAGGAATTTTGTCGGGACTCAGATCTTCACGCAGCACATTTCGGGGTCTGATTTAAGGTCGACAGAGGTTCAGATGGCTATCGCAGGGTAACCTAAAGTTTTTGAATAGCTGGAAAGAACGTCTTTAAATAAAAGTACCGTCCCTGGGTGGGCTCGAACCACCAACCTCTCGGTTAACAGCCGAACGCGCTAACCGATTGCGCCACAGAAACTTACGGGTTGCTCCTGCTTAAGTCATTTTCTGATCTCAGAAACTGCTTTTAAACCTCTGATTGCAGATTCCTTCGTATCTTTGTCGCCTCTTTGACCCCCGCACACTCCAAAAAAACGGACACCCGTTAAGACACTGAGGCCCAAGAGCCACGTTGCTGGGCTGGAACCCTCCAAACGCCAGATCCGCAGCCTTGCCCGCCCGCCCCTCTCCAGGCGACCGCCTCAGCTTCCGCGGCCGAAGCCTTCCGCGCTCCGGTGCGGGCCGGGCAGTGGAACCCGCCACCAGGAGGTGGCGCGCGGGGGATGCACCAGAACCGCTGCGCCACCTCCTGGCGGCCCGAGGTGGGCTCCACCAGGGAGCCCCTCGCTCAGAGCAAGCTGGCACCTTAGACATCCAGAAAATGCCCGGTGCAGGAAGGCATTCCGCCACAAGTTTTAAGAGAACCAAGAAATCCAGGGTGAGCTTTAGGCTCTTAGTCTAAAGCTCCGGGAGGGGAAGACAGGACAGTTTCTCAGAGACGGCCGTTGTTAATACTCGTGTTCCGGAGAGGCGGCCGGGTCTCGTGCGTCTTGGATCCGAATTGGGCTCTCTGCGCTGGGCAGTAGCGGCCTCAGCCTGGGGTCGTGGGTCCTTGGGGAAGGAAGGCACCTGAGAAAGATGAAGAGCAGAAGAAAGCGGTGGGAGTAGGGTCGGCCTGGTGTGGGGGGCTGGTGAGAGAGCGAGAGCTTCTAATCACCAAAAAGACCAGCAGAAAATGGGAAATGCCTGAGTCTATTTTCTTTCACTTCGACCACCGCCTCCCGCCTCCTCTTTGTCACGCGGTGAGGTTGCGTGTGGTTGATGCTCTAAAATCCGAAAACGGATGTTCCCCTTTAAGATGTTCCATTCAAGCCGGCAGCTCTTCGAGACTCCCTCCTTCGGACCTGGCGGCTTCCTGAGCGCACACCTCAGAGCCGGTGGGCGGCGGGGGCGGCTGCGCAGACGCGGGTCCTCGCCGGCGGGCGGGAAACTGCAAACCGCCGCGGGGGAGGCACTCGCAGCCCCTACGGCCCTCCCGCCCCAGTGGGTTGCCTGGGGCATTGGAGAGGAATGTCAAAGGCGACTACCCACCGACAGCCCTGTCAGGAGAGGTACTGTCGGGTGCTACAGAAGGAAGTTGGGGTGCATGGGCCCAACACCCAATGCAGGAACAGCAACAGAACGGCTTCTTTGTCTCACGCTAACCAAGAATTAGAGACGCAGACACAGAGAAGGAATAAGAGAGAAAAGAAAGACCAGACCTCCCAGGCAGGGAGCGTGTGTTGTAAAACGGTTTGCCAATGAAAAACTGAGAAGAGAGTTGTTTTCTTTTTTTTCATCTGTGTCAGAGGGACTTTGTCCAGGCTTCCTGTTTTTATTTAGGCTTGTTCAGTCTCTGAGAAGCTATGTGCGAAGAGAGAAGCGGCTTGCAGAAGGACTGGCTACCATATTGAGAAATGCCAGCTCCTTGACAAGCGTGGTGCTGCGCACACGGAGCGTGCAGGGAGTGAGCTGCCTGCAGGGAGCGCTGCTATGGGGAGAGAGTTGAGTTGCAGGATGTAAAATCCTAGGTTTGGGGATCCAAACCTCTAAGAGAGCTGTCCTGAGATGCAGACTGAAAAACCACAGACACATGTGAAGTAGGAAAGAGAAGTTTGGATAGAAAAGTAAAGATTTCCGACAGGAAGGAAACACACACCCATGCCTGAAAAGCATGTGGGTGGGTAATTGTCAGAGGACAACTGCACTGGGCATGGGGTTAGCTGTAACGTTTATTCTGATAGTTGGTAATGAATATTTAGCAGAGGAAGGGCTGTTATGCATAGTACCCGCCTCTTGGTCTCTTTGTTTTCGTGGGCTTTTTCCTGGGGTGAGGAATTTAATGCCCAGGGTGGTCTTTGAAGGAATGAGTATCCATATTTGGATGCTCTGTCTAACTATTAATAGTTTATTGCCCCAGTGGGAATCAGGATGTTGACTTAGTGTCCCATCCCTGCGTGAATTTTTGTGTGTATACCTGAAGCGGCAGGAGGGAAGATAATAACTTTCCCAGCACTAAAGGGAGATGGGAGGAAGGGGTTTGAAGAGAGTCTGGCTGCATTTCCTGAGAGGCTGTGATTGATCAAGCAAGCTGTAAAACAGCTCTGGTTATAAAAAGCTCTCCGTGTGAGCAAGCAGAGCCTATACTTGATTTCTAGTGAGAGCAGTGAACAATGCTTCTCAAAAGCTTGACCAGAGTGACTCCATTTTATAAGCTGGCTCTATCTTAGTGTACGTGTGTGTCCATTTCCTTTCATACCCTTTCCCAGGGACTCCTGCCCTGTTTGCCTACACATTGAGTCTAATTCCTGTCTCAGCACTGAGAATTTGGAAGTCTAGAATGTTGAGAATGCGTAAACAATTGCAGCTTTAATTCCACATAAATAGAGCTGAAAGACTGCTATGGCTTTGGAGAATTCTAATCTTTTTCTCATGAATAAAGAGCTATTTCTAAATGTATCTACAGGCATGTTCCTTTGGGCCTGGATTTCTTATTTTCACAGCATCCCCCAAGAAGAGGGAGAGAGCTCTGGGGCTTTGGCTCCTGGTGGAGTGACAGGCAGAGACACAGCTCATGTCCTTGTCCTCTCATGAACTGTCCGTTGTGCATAAAGACTTCAGAGAAAAGCACCCACTATTGGTGTGGCAAGTTTGAAAATCCCATAGCAGGACCAAGTGGGCAGATCCTGTAAGTCTTGGGGAGGAGGGCCTTGTGGGGTGAATTGAAAAAGATCTTTCATTTTGGATGTCCTATCTTTCCCTCTAAGGCTGGGGCTCCGTCTGGGTGGAAATGAGCACAGGATGGGGCCACCGTAAGGGAGGACCAGGGGAGGATGAAATAGCTCCCACACCCTGGCCTCACCTCCAATCCACCACCCAGATCCCTCCTAATATACAGGAGGCTGGCAGGTAGCATGGTGGCTAAGGGTGCTGGACTCCCACATGGTCGTGTGGAAGTCCTTGCCCAGACACGTGTAATACTTCTCGATGATGACCCGGGCCACCTTCACAGTTTTGGTGTGAATGTGGCCCATTCGGCGGACCCTTGGTGAAAGAGCAAAATAATCGTTTTTTAAAGAATTATTTTATTTAACTTTATTTTTATTTATTTATTTTAAAGAATTATTTATTTATTTTTTTACAACTTGACCAGAGAGAGAGAGAGAGAGAGAGAGAGAGAGAGAGAGAGAGAGAGAGAGAGAGAGAGAGAGAGAGAGAGAGAAGGAAGCCTCCAGGTTCAGGACTTGAACCACGATTGGCCATGTGGGAGTCCAGCATGTTAACCACCACGCCACCTGCTGGCTCTATTTATTTATGTATTTTTATTTGACCAGAGAGAGAGACAGGGAAAGTGAGAAAGCAAGCCACCAGGTCTGGGACTCAAACCACAGTCGACCACATGGGACTCCAGCGCTCTCAAACGCCATGCCACCTGTCGGTCCTGTAAGCACACAGGCCCTATGACAGAAATCTCTAAACAAGAAAAAGGAGAAGAAACACCTGAGCACCTGGGAAAGACTCCAAGGATTGGAGCTGGGCCCTGGACTCCTCTTCATAAAATGGAGAAGAGTGGGACAATTTCGAAGGAAGAAACTGAACTTCCAGAATACTCTCTCCCACATCATGGCATTCATATAACATTGCATCATATTTCAGTTGCACCAGGCTCAAGGTCACTGGTGTTACCCGGAAGTACAATAGCCAGCCTGATGGGACAGTGGATCCTCTTTTGAAGATTGAATCTCAGTGCACTTGGATAACCACACCTTGAGGATCCAGGTAGTCCTACAGTACGTTGTGTGTGCTCTCCATCAGCATCCAGTATATGGTGCAGTTTTTCTCAGCTGGGGGAGTCACGGCAGAAATGAGTGGCTCTTGGTCCAGCAGGTGGCACAGAGGTTAAGGTGCTGGATTCCACACAGGCAGCCTCACAGTTTGAGTCTGGGACCTGGTGGCTTGAAAATCACACTAGGTGTGTGCCCAAAATCCCAAGAAAAAAGTGGAGTAGAAGCAATTGTGGCATGAGGGGTGGCTTTCTCACTTTCTCTCTCTCCTCTCTGGTGAGTGCATAAGCCCTTGTAGCAAAAATTGAAAAAAAATAATAAAAGTGGTTCTTCTTACTATTACCGTTAGTGATACACTAATGACAATTTTTCTTCCTACTTCTGCAACTCTGGGCTCTGCTGATCTGGAAAACGTCAGTCCCACCAGTAGGCTACAATGATGCTTGCTCTTCATGATGGGGAACCAACAGGTAAAAGAGGGGATTGCTTTCTAACTAGATGAAGGATCCTGACACGTAAGGGAAAATTGAATTGCAATAATACAATGAAGGAGAATCTCAGCAATGTGGGAAAGCCCCCCAGGATACCCCTCAGTACTCACTGAACCCTGTGATTAAGCAGGCACCGGACTCCCACATGACTGACAGTGGTTCAAGTCCCTGATTCAGTGGCTTGCTTTTCTTTTTCTCTGGTGAGCACATGTGTCCTATAGAAAAATTTAAATAATAATAATAAATTAAAAAATTTTTAAAGTCAATGGAAAACTAAAACATCCAATAAAGGTAAAACTAAAACTGCTCCATAATGGGCAAGAAACCAGTGAAAAGCTGTGGTATTTGTGGAGAGCAAAGGAAATAGAAAATAGGTGACGAAGATAATTATAAATACAAAAATTATAGCTAGTGATCATTGCAGAAATGAAGGCTGTAGTGAATATTTCCTCATTTTGATATAAATGTATTTGTGAATATATTAGCCACCATTCTCTTCCATCCTGTCCCTACCCGCAGGACAAATCGAACAGAGAACCCGAGTGAGGGGGCGGAGGTCTGGAACCGGCGCAGCGTCTCAGCACGGGAGCAAAAGAAGTGTCACAGCTCACACAGTGTCACAGCTCTTGATGGTATGAAGGTTTCGCTCCTTTGAGGGCCAGGGAGCTTTCTTATATACACAAGGCAGAGGGAAGTAGGCAGGGTTTACTGCGGACCTTGTTGAGGACCTGTCATTTTGTGTGAACCTGGAAGTTGTGTTCCTGGTGTACATGTCAAGGTCGCACTGGCCATTTTATGCAGTGAAGGTCATGGCAGCCATTTTGATGTGGGCGGCTTCCCACATATCCCCCTTCTGTTTTATTAAGAGACTGGGAACCAGGGGGAGCTGTGCCTGTCTTAGGTTGGAGTTGTTAAGGCCAAATGAATCCTCGATTACCCGTCATTGGAACAACCCATAGCAGAGATGGGTGTCCTGTCTTAGGTAGAGGAACGGAAGGGGTCGCCAAACCTCTCGTCCCCGTCATTGGCTAGCCAGCTCAGTGCCTCTGGTTAATGGATGAATAATTTTTGAGATCCTCCATCTCCAGTCTGGTGTAATGGACCTGAATGGGTCGAGAAAGGAGGGATGTTATCTGTTGGCTGATGAATGACTTTAACTTGTTAAAAAGGACTGGGCCTAGCGAGCAGGCAACCAACAGGCCAATAATTGGTCCAAGAAGGGGGAGTATAAAAGGTAGGATCCCATTCTAGACAGTTAGGAAGGGATTATCAGTGAGTTGTTTTCTGCGGTTATTTAGGGTTTCTTGAAGAATCTGGATTTTATCACGAACAATGCCAGACTTATTGGCGTAAAAACAGCATCTTTCCTGTAAGGCAAGGCAAAGACCCCCCTGTTCGGCAAGAACAAGATCAAGGCCTCGATTTTGGAGAACGACCTCTGCCAGGCAGTCGAGTTGATCCTGGAAAAGGGTCATAGTAGTTGCAAGGTGTTGAATATCAGAAATCAGTCCTTCTGTGACCTTTTTTAAGTGAAGGGAATATCCCAAGCCCGTGGAGCCGGCGGCAGCAGCGGCAGTAAATCCCAAAGTGGCAAAAATAGGAATGAGGTGGACAGCGCGTTTTGGCCGTCCTGCAATGAAATCAAAGGTTGGCACGGGGACAGGTTCATCTCCTCGAACAATGTCAATGTCTGGGAGTGGGATGGCTAGGATGCAGGAACCAGACCAGGAGGGAGGAAGAGAAGTGTATGCAAGATTAGAACCACAGACAAAGATGGTATTGTTGGGGGGGGCACGTCTGGGATAAGTTGAGGAATGACATGCAGTTGGCGAAAGAGACATAACCGAGGAAGAGGGAGGAATTAGTGGTGGAGTTGGAGACAATGCAGGAAGTGTTAACAGGGAAGAGGGGCTGAACAAGGAAGGGCTGAGAAAGGGAACAGTTTGGGGGGGAATCGGAGGAGGAGCCATTAAAGGGAATTGCATAAGGAACAGGAGTGTGATGAGGAAGACAAAGCCAACAGTCCTGTGCAACGTCAGGACTGGAGCTATTGAGGAGGGAATGGGCAAGAGAGAGGAGGGAATAAGTGTTAGAGTCTAGAGGGAGATTTTTTGGCTTAGGGAGAGCTACCGGGTGGTAAACGCTGGAGGGCGGTAAAAGAGCAGTAATGTGTTTTTGAATGAGATGTTCTCATAGGCAGTCCTGGGGGCCGCTGCCATCAGAAAGGTGGATAGGTGCAGTAAGGGACCAACATTTGTCCTTGCCTAGGTCAGAGGAAGAACAAGGGGACTGAACAGTAAGATGATTAAAGGAGCCGGAGAAGGTAGACGTTTGTTTTGCAGTATAGTAGGTGGTGTTTCCACAGATGCATAGAGAGGCGGAATGATAGCAAGCAGCGTGAAAAGACTGTAAAAACGAAGTGCATGGACAGGGAGGAGGTTTAGAGGAGGCAGGGGTGGGGGGGGAATTGTTTAAGCAATAATATTTTGAATTAGAGGAGAGATAAGAGGAATAACCGGAGCATGAGGTTGTAGTAACTGGGGAAAAACTGAGGGTGGTAATGTATCCCCCACTGCAGGAGCATGGCGAATGTTTTTGTAGTAGCTGGGCAATGACGTTAGGGTCGTCAAATCCACTGGAGGCCACCTTAATGAAGGGGAGGAGAAGCATCACCGTCATCATCCTTGAGTGGTCCATGATGGGCAGGGGAGTTCTGTGGAGGAAAAGAAAGAGAACTCTCAGGGGGCTCACGCTCTCTGGATGAAGAGTCAATTTGTTTTTACCAATCTTTCTGGGAGCCACCATGCAGAATCTGATTTTTGGGAATAAATGCAAATGGATCCTCTACCCCAGATAAGAACGGGGTCTGGACCGTGCCATGTGTTATCCAGAGGATCTTTCCATAAAACGGAGGCAAATTTTGTTTTGGTGGATGAATGCCAGAAGCGCTCAGCGGCTGAGTCTCCATTTTTGTCGAGAGACAGGAAGTTTAAGACAAACAGAGCATGTGATAGAAGGTTTTTGGGAGAATTTTTAACAAAAGGGTACTCTCCTTGTCTTAATTTTTTGAGAGTATTCTTTAGGGAAAGCAGGGAAAGATGAGCACGCTCAACAATGCTCTGTCCCTGAGGATTATATGGAATCCCTGTAGTATGTTTAATGTGGAATTGTTTGCAAAAGGATGTAAAATTGTTGCCTGTATATCCTGGACCATTGTCGGTTTTTATGTGCTGAGGAATTTCCAAAACCAAGAGGGCGGAGAGGACATGGGAGATAACATTTTTACCGGCCTCTCTGGTCTGGGCAGTGGCGAAAATAAAGCCACTGTAAGTGTCGACAGTGACATGGACATATCTTAGAGAACCGAATTCGGGGACATGAGTGACATCCATTTGCCAAAGGGCATTGGGTAGAAGGCCCTTGGGGTTGACGCCAAAATGTGGAACGGGTAAAAGAGTAACACAAGCTGGACATTGTTTAACTATCTGTCGAGCTTGTTCTCGAGTAATTTTGAACATGAGGCGAAGTGTGTGGGAATTCAGATGATGTAGTTTATGCGCAGCAACGGCACTTGTGAGATTGTCATCAACCCGTGTAGACGCAAGAAAGGAATGTTTGGTGGCAAGATCAGCACAGCAGTTGCCCTCAGTCAGAGGACCAAGCAGGTCACTGTGTGCACGTAGGTGGCCAATGTACAGGGGCAAACTCCTTTGTCTGATAAGTGATTGAAGTTGAAGGAAAAGGTGTGAGGCCTGTGAAAGCGGCCTAAGTTGACCCGCCGTTTCCAGGAGTGGGACTGAGATAGCGATGTATGAGCTATCTGTATAGAGGTTTAAAGGCGTATCTGGGAAGGCCACAAGGACGGCAATAACCGCCTGTAATTCTACCAGTTGAGCCAACGTATGAGGCGTGGGAAATGAGATTGTTTTCGTGGAATAAGTGTAAGGGGCGGTTCCATTAGAGGAGCCGTCAGTAAAGACAGTTAGACCATTTGAGAGGGGGCAGAGTGAGGTACAGGCAGGGAAGATAAAGTCGTGAGTGTTGAGAAAATGTAAAAGCCTGTTGGGAGGAAGGTGATTATCAATTGTTCCCACGAAAGAGACACAAGCAATAGGCCAGAAATCGGTTTTCTGGAAAAGCCAGTCCACCTGTTGTCGAGTGTATGGCTGAATAATAGTGTCGGGATCTTTACCAAAATACGTGACACTAAGCTTTTGAGACAAAGTAATAATATCAGCAACAGCCTGATAATAAGGATAGATAGCTTTTGATGGCGAAGAGGGAAGATGAACCCACATGATTGGTGCAGATTGCCAAAACACTGTGGTGGGTGAGAACGCGGTTCGGCAAACAATGAGGGATAGCGGTTGACTATAATCAATAGATGTAATAAACTGTGATGAGATGGCCTCTTCAACTAAGGTGAGTGCTTGGCGACCTTCAGGCGTAAGCGTGCGGGGTGAAGTTGGATGAGTGTCTCCTTGTAGAATTTCAAACAATGGTTTGAGTTGTCCTGTAGTGAGTTTAAGATATGGGCGGATCCAATTAATATCACCCAGCAATTTTTGAAAATCTTTTAGTGTTTTTAGATTATCAAGTCTAAGCCTGACTTTTGGAGTGAAAATTTGGTTGTTTGTGAGTTGGAAACCTGAGTAGGTATAGGGGTCTTTTCACTGAACTTTTTCAGGAGCAATTTTTAAACCATGAGCAGAAAGGTGTTCATTGAGATCTTGGTAGCATTGTAAGACAGATTGGCCATCTTTTCCGGCTATGAGGATATCATCCATATAATGAATGCTATACATTTCTGTCTACTTTTGTCTAGCTGGTTGTAGGGCATCTGAGACAAATTTTTGACAAAGAGTAGGGCTGTTTGCCATCCCCTGGGGCAAAACGCGCCACTCATAGCGCTTCATGGGCTCCTTAAAATTAGTAGATGGGACGCTGAAGGCGAATCTTTTTCAATCTGAAGGATGAAGGGGGATCGTGAAAAAAGTCTTGGAGGTCAATGACTAGCTTGAAGTAACCAAGGGGTATGGCCGAGGGAGAAGGCAACCCAGGTTGTAATGGTCCCATTGGAACCATAGTTTTATTGATGGCCCGTAGATCCTGAAGTAAGTGCCATTTTCCGGATTTTTTCTTAATAACAAATATGGGTGTGTTCCAAGGCGAGGTACTCTCAGTTATATGTCCAGCCTCAAGTTGTTCCTGTACTAACAATTGGGCTGCTTGAAGTTTTTGTGAGGGAAGAGGCCACTGATCAACCCACACTGGGTCATCACTTTTCCAAGTGATTTGATCCACGTGGGGCACAGGAATGTCAGCAACCACAAAGGAAAATATCCTATTCCAGCTCTATCAGGCTTTGGTTCCAGGAGAATGGGCTGTGTTATTCCAGAACTAGTTTTTCCAAGACCCTTGCCGGGTAGATACCCCTGCAATAACATCTGTGCAGTGACAGTGTTATTGGGACTGACCATGAGAAGGCTCATTTGTGACAATAAATCGAAATAATAGCATAGTTTTCCTGACTCATAAAAAATAGTAGCTATTGTTAATTTATCTCAATTTAGTGATTTCTCCCCCTGGTTACCTTCCTTGTCTGTCCATT